TCTGTTTTTATTGTATATTAATGATTTGTCGACTGTCGACGTATCTGGGAAGTTTACACTATTCGCTGATGACACCACAGTATTTTGGCGTGCCAAGAACAGTAGTGAACTCAAAGAGATGATATACTCTGAAATAAACAGTATTAAAGTTAGGTGTGATTCTAATCGACTTGTTCTCAATATTTCAAAAACAAACTTATTAACCTTCCGATGCTCACTGGAGGACATACCCCTTGGGTCAAATATCATTGAAAATGAACTCAACACAAAATTCCTAGGATTGTTTATTGATACTAGGTTGAAATTCGAGGAACACATTCAGGCCTTGAGGAAAAAAATATTCTGCTGTCAAGATTGTCTCAAAGGAGTTGGGATTGGGTGCGGCTAGAATCGTTTACTATTCCCTAATTGAGTCTCATCTAGGGTATGGCATCCCATTCTGGGGTGCATGTAATGCTAACTGCATGAGCAGTATTCTTGTTCTTCAAAAAAGAGGGCTAAGATTTATGTGCAAAGCAAAAATTCGTGACTCCTGTAAGCCTTTATTCATTGAACATAAAATACTCACGATAATAGCAATTTTTATATTAGAAACCGTTTGTTTGATAAGGAAACATCTGAACACGTTTAACAAACTTCCTTCACACTATGTCACTCGCCAAGCTATGAACGTAAGTCTGCCACTTCCTAAATCATCACTGATTAAAGATTCTGTTATTTACAACGGCTGCAAGATGTACAATCATCTACCTAGTTATGTCAAAAACACTGCCAATTTGAACATTTTTAGAAAATCTGTGAAAAACTTACTGTTACATAAAGCTTATTATAATTTACAGGAATTTTACTCTGACACATTTTAACACTTTTGTTATTTCCTATTTACTTGTTATATGTTTTTATATATACAAATTCTGTTTGTTGTTGGTTTGTGTATTTGATATGTATTGCGGTTCGTTTTTTTTTACATTTATTTTACATACTAACTGGTATGAAATTGACATATACTATTTTAGTAGGTATTATACATCACATTTTTATTATTATTTTTTTCAATTATCGACCAGTATGCATTAGACTTAGGTACCTTGATATCTTTTTTTAAACTAGAGCAAACTTTGTCAACAAGAATTTAATTTCTTATGATAATAAAGTATATTCTCTCTTTACACTACACCAAACATTGGGAATCACTCTACCGATGACCAGAATACATTTTTTCTGTATAAAAATCAAACATCTCCATCCGACCAGCTCACAGAACAAAGGTGTTAAGTGCCAAAAATAAAGTTTCGAGAAATTCAATGAAAAATAATAAAAATGTTTTATTTATTACTAAAAAAATTATGTAAATGGCTAACGGAAAACAAATTCTAACTTAAACCGATATATGTTATGGAACACAGCTGAAACTGAAAATTATTTATATCCAAGACTGGAACCTTTGGCACGATAATACCACTAACCAAACCGATTTTTTAAACGTCTAGACACGTGTTTCGCTAACTATGTTAGCATCTTCAGGAAAAGATTAGAACTCAAACTGGCAAAATTATTTCTTGAAGAAAAAATAGAAACGGGGTAAGTGCCACAAAATATTGCCACTTTTTCTATGTTTATTCTGGTGCAGTTCACTCATATCGTAAAACTTTCCCAAATTGAGTAATTATTTATATATTTCCACGATCAACATACGATTGGAAAGCTACTACGCGCAAGCTTGACGAATAATTGCACAATACAGCTGATTCACTCTGCAAATTGCCCCGTTTTGATGGCAAATATCCGTTGTCGCTTACCGGTGGCTCCATCTAATTATTGTTGTAGGAAGCATAATATTACTCTTGGCACTTACAGCATTTGTCATTTGTCAGGTCAGAAAGCATGTGGTTCAACACCGTTCTACCCGGTTTTACCGCAAAAACCCAATTCAGGAAATTGTGGCACCACCATTGTTATTTCCACTAATTTATTTATACCCTTAAAATAAGCGAAGAAGATTATGATGGATTGAAAACTACCGATTTCCATATTTTCAAATCAACTTTTAAAATTTCACACATCAAAATTAAATAGCTCTCTTCAAATATTCTCAAATATAGGTTATTTTCAGAAATGAAGAATTTGATGACGTCATTGATTCAGTTTTCAAATATTTAAAAGTATGCAAGCATAGTCCCAAATCAATGAGATTCTCAATTTAAATCTGGAGTTTTTGGTAGTGCTATTCTTCAGGAGAAACATTCGTTATTAACATCGTAGTATTTTATGTTTCACGATTTGTTTTTTTAATCTATGACGATACAAATGCACTAGATCTGTAATATCAACTAATGAAACGTCGTAAAGTTATACATTGATCGCTGCAAGTTTGTTTTTGACTTCCAAACTTAACGATTTGAGTCAACTTGACTTGATTGAATATTGCAAATGACAATTTCGAAACTAGAGGTTTTTAGGTATGAGAAATTGAGAAATCATCATTTGGTACTGATTTGGTACCTACTTCATATATTGTGTGTTAATTTAGCGCCATTTTTTGAAAGAAATGTTGAAGACATTCCATTTTGAGAAAATATAAGTAACTATTCGTTATCAATACCAAATATTGAAAGTTTCTCGAGATAATCGCATTTTAGGAATTAGCTGCATAATTCTCATCCAATTTATTGGGGGCAATATCAATGTAGTAGTAGATGCCTAATGTTTCAAATGCTTGAAAATGTCTCTATAAATGATTGTAGAATGGTAGTGACCGTTGAAATATGTTATTGATTTGCCGCTTTCCACTTTTAAACACCGAACTATACCACATTCGGTCGCTTAAATGCCTGTAAATAACATAGAGACATGAAGCAGAAAGCTGCACTATTTCAAATTTCAACGCCCACTACGATGCTACGACTGATTTTTTATAAAAGCACTGTATTAACGTAATAGGCAGATGTCAAGGATGATTTTGGAAGCATCCTTTCTATAAAATTTGACACGTCTGTGATATTTTGTCATGAAAAGCTATCTAAACCATTTTTAATATCCGCCCAATACGTCAATATTTCTAAGCTTAAGTGCGAAATAATGCCACAAAAGTGGATTATGTCTTTCATAATAACAATTCACAATTGCTTTCCATATAATCCATCACAATTTCAGATCGTCAGAATTTTTTTTATCGCTTGGAGCGATATACAAGGTGATTCTAAAATAGGTCGTCAAACTTTGGGAGTATATAGAGTGAGTGAAATAATTACGAAAACCTCGGTAACATTTTCTTCTGAAGTGCCCCCCACGAAAGATACAGCCCCTCAAAGGGGGGCCTCGGAGAATGATTTTGTACTATTATCTCCAACACCTTGTATGATGAAAATCTAAAATTTTGTTTATCCACTAACTATTCAGTGCCGGTTCGAATGGAGTTAAAATCACCTCAAAATTGAATACAGGGGTGTGTCAAAACAGGGAGGTAGGGGGTAAAAATAACCCCAACTTTTTTATTCATCGCAATTTCAGTTTTTTTACATGAAATTATGAAATCTCAGGGCAATTATCATAGAAAAGGAGCTCTTGTTGACTCTCGATTAACTGAACCATTAGCGAATAAAATTTATTTTTCCAAGATTTCATTTAAATTACAATTTTGGTATGCACTCGTTTAATTATCTAGTTCAAATTTTGCAACTTAATTTTTACGTACTTCTAATCGTCTGATCAACTTGGAATCTGGCAGATGACAGTTGACAACGCGTTATGGACTTTTTGATAGGACAAAATATGGCGGCTCCAATATGGCTTACCAGATTTGTGATTATGATTCGATTCGATTCAAATTTGGTTTGTAAGAGTTTTTGTCATTTTGAATTCGTTGTCGAAATTGATGAATTAAAAATAGACGACGAGTTTCGTGATTATGGTGAATATTGTTGAAAACAAGCTTTTTGTAAATGTTATTCGCTAATAGTTCATTTTATCGAGATGCAACAAGAGCACCTTTTCCATGTAAATAGCCTTAAGATTTCATAATTTCATGTCAAAAAACTGAAATTGCGATGAACAAAAAAGTTGGGGTTATTTTTACCCCCTACCTCCCTATTTTGAAACACCCCTGTATTTTATTTTGAGGTGATTTTAACTCCATTCGAACCAGCACTGAATAATAAGTGGATAGACAAAATTTCAGATTTTCATTATACAAGGTGTTGGAGATAATAATACAAAATCATTCTCCGAGGCCCCCCTTTCAGGGGCTGTATCTTTCTTGGGGGTCACTTCAGAAAAAAATGTTACAGAGGTTTTCGTAACTATTTCACCCACTCTATATGCTCCCAAAGTTTGACCACCTATTTTAGAATCACCTTGTATACATATAATTTTTCACATGAATTTTGAGGTTATGCGAAGAAAGTGTATACCCAAGAGTCATAGATCTTTTTATTACCTACAACTTCGCCATTCAACTTTTTTCCATGGTACTTGCAGTTTTACCAGAAATCGAGATTAACAGTATTTTACTCTGAAAAGCTCACCCCCTTCCACTTCCCGTAATTCATTTTTTCTTCCATTTTTGTTGAATTCTCTTCCTTTTTTCAATGAATTTCATTCTACAATAGTCTTTTTCGATTCAAAAAGTTATCGACCTTGGTCAATTAAAGCAAGTTTCGAGTAAACCGATCAGCTTATGGGATCCCTCAAGGACCGGTCTCCTTTTTTTTTTCTACTAAACTCAATTGCCAACCTCAGGTTAGGTTCCTTGGTGCACAGTATAAAACGCCCCGCCCCGTTTATATTAGGTTTTGCAAGTGAAAACGTTGATCATAAATAAACCACATAGAAACTATGGAGGAGAAATAATCATTTTTGAAAAGGCTTATGGTTCATTTTCTCAAGTAATAATTGTTCAACGGATTGTCCTCTACTCTATGGACACTTCACAAAAATCATTACGCTCTCACTGATTTTTCGAGAGAACAGGCAAATAATCAATTTTCCTTCTGTAGGTAAACATGAATGTATCAGAAGCATTCAAAAAGTGTATGCAAGACGTGCACAAAAAAAAATTGGAGAAAAATTACCACCAGAAAACAATCGAAGATCGCCTCATGAATTTCCAAGGTGTCAGAAGACAAACCAGGGATACGCTGATGCTGCAAAGAAGAAACATTGATTTGAATAATATGTCTCCCATTATCACTCCACAACCCACCAGAAATAAAACTGCCAAGGAGAAGATTCAAACAGACGTAGCCAAACCTGCCAAAAGCAACAAAAGATTAGAAATGCTCCAGAAGTGGAAGGAAGAAAAGGAAAAAGTTAAGCTGGAGAATAAAAGACGAGCAAAACCAATATTCAAAGTATGTCATGTAACCAATGATGTCGGGATATCGAATTTAGGTAAAGTTAATAAGGAAATCAAAGGAAAACCGATTAAGAAAGATACATTGAAGTCCTCCTGGGCACCTGTGAATCATAAGTTCCATGCACCTAAAAATATTAAACCTATAAGTGTGCATATGGCTCCTAGCAAAGCAAAAGTAGCTACTTTGAAAGCTTCTGAAGCTGCATGCAAGCCATCCACATCAAGTAATACTGATTTGTCTAAGAAAAATACGTCAAATAGTAGAAAAAACAAAGGAAACAATGAACAAAATATTCTACCCCAGAACAGTCCACTGAAACGTTTGACCAGGGCACAGATATCCAAGTCAAAAAAAAATCAACAAGCTACTTCAGCTTCACGACAAAAATCTACACTGAGCAGTAAAACAGTGGATAAAGGCAAGAGACAGCAGCAGGAAAATGTGGCTGATAAGAGCCCTGTAAGGAAAGTAATGGTGAAAAATAATACTGTAATGAAAGAGAGTAAAATAAAGGAACAAAAAAAAGCGAATGTTCAAACTCCTCTGAAGAAGAAAGTGGCTATTATTGGAAGAGTCGAAAACAAAAATGATTCAGAGTTGTCTAAAACTGATTCAAACAAAAAACATGTTGGATGGGATGTTCATAATATCACTGAAAGCGATGACGATGTTTTTACCAAGTCCTCTACTAAAAAGAAATATGCAAAAACTCCCATCAAACGCAAAAATACCATTATTTCAATAACCGATAGTGATGAAGACAGCTTCAATACACCACCAAAGAAAAATCAAACAAAAAATAACCACACGCCGAAGAGTGGAAAATCTACACCAAGTTCAGAAACAAGGAGTTTGCGTAAGGAACCCCAAACTCCAAGGAGTATGCGTAAGCAACCCCAAACTCCAAAGGAAGACAAAGTAACCATTTATAGCGATGAAGAGGTCAGTTTGAAGACGCCACGTAAATCGGCTTCAAGGAAAAGTATGCTAACGAGACCCAAGACCCCAAAGAGCGCGCGAAAATCCTTGACAACTCACGCACCCATAGAAGTAGAAGAAGAATGTTCCCCAGCTTACATCAGTCCGTTCGTCACCATTTCTAGGGGCAAGGATTCGGCCAGGAAGGAGTTCAAGTCCAGACTTTCGACGGGGGGCACCTTCAACACACCGGATTCGAAAAACAAACATTTTTCGAGTGCCACGAGTCCCAAAATGGGGGCTGAATACTTCGCGAAGCTGCTCAATCAGGAGACTGCCAGGATAGAAGGCATCTGCCAACGATGGGAGAAGTATAGGGATGAAAATGAGCTGTCTGAGGAGGCTGAGACCCTTATATTCGTCCCCATTGGCCAGTCGAGGCTACTGATAGCGAAAAAGTTTCAGCAATTTCGAGGTAATTCAAGTTCAGCTTGCATCTGAAGAGATAAAGTCTTCCTCATAAGACCATTCTATTTTTATTATTTTTTATATTGTTTTGGAATGGTCTTATTCTACATTTTTTCTCATTTTAGGTGTTACTTACATAAAATGTTCATAATTTTATGTTGGAACACAGAACTCTTGAAACTAGTTCAATTCCTGTATAAATAATGTGACCTCAGGTCATTGCTACTTTACTTTGAGCATTTCAATCCATATTGTAGAACTCGAGAAATTTCAAGCACAGTGACATTTTGGAGCAAATCATTTGATTTGTCCTTACTCTGGAATTATACTATACTATACTATAGTTATTTGTTTTACTAGGCAGACAAGCACAAGATTTAATGCCACGGCTTGCGTTTCTTAGCCAATGCGTAGCCGGGGCTAGGAAACCAGCCAAGGCAATAAATCTTCTTTTCTGCCTTTCCAAATTCGTTTGAATTTCACGCAAAGTCCAAATAATCTATCGTTTTGTGTGTTCACCCAATGTCATTGTCAATTTTGTTCACCAATTTGATTCAAATTTTCACCTGGAACGTTGCATATCAACAAACTGTTTCTGCCTAGGCAGTAAAAGTACACCTTCTCTGCTTATTAAGTGTCATTAAGAAGCCACTTTTAGGGTCATTTGGAGAAAATAGTAGATTGTTTTATTAGGATCAAAAGTGACACTTTGTTTGACAAGCGAATTTTGCATTTGCGAGGCGGTGCGTTTAGCGAAGCCGAGCGAAAGCAAAATTTGCGAGTCGAACAAAGTCACTTTTGATCCGAATGAAACATGCTATTTTTTTCTGCAACCGAAACAATTAATTCAAATAAACATGTGAAGTAACCACCAATGCCGTGCCATATGTATGCAATGCAACAAATATTGACAAATAATCCATGTGGTGAGAATATTCTACATGCATTAACAGCAGGTTAGGTTTTTTGGATGTTCTCATATTTGTGTATGGACCAGGTGCTCTAATGGCAAATACCGCGCCAGTGCCAGCTATAGGAACAAGACGTGGAAAATGTTAGGTTAGTGTTAGTGAGCATATCAACAATGATAATAGAGATTATTTATTCCTCTCCATACTACACTGTGTTTGACTTGATAATCAAATGAAGCTAAATAATATCGTTGTTTGAGACAAAAAAACTATTACTTGCCGTGATTATTCAAAAACAAGTTATCCATCCCGAGAATAACGAATGAAATAATACTTAACCGAAATGTTTATAATTTCAATACTAAACTATGATAAGGTGTATTTATATCTCCAGCGTGGGTATGAAATGTCAAATCTGCTGAAATCGGAAACAAATCAGGTATGCGTCTCAACCCAAATAACCAACCGTCAAAATGTTGGTTATTCTTGATGACGTCCAGTAGATCCTTTTTAGTTCCTAGGAGCTAAAGTTCAACTTTAGCTCCTAGGAACTAAAATTGAACTTTAGCTCCTAGGAACTAAATATGTTGCCTAGCAACTTACCTATTTTTGTGTCAGTAATAAAAACGTCAATTTAAGAGCTAATTTTGGTATCAAAATGGACGACTTTTGTGTCGGTTGCAGAAAAACAATTTTTATTTATAGAGATAAGGAGAGGAGACGCCAAAAATCTAGTTAAATAAACATCTTCAATATCAAATAAAAATTGAACCGCCAATATTTATGAAAAATATATTTCCACTTCATTTGATGAAACAATCGATCTTAAAAAATATATTCTTGGCGTTTACAACTTTGTTCCAGCATAGCGTTCAATTGTTGGATTTAAAGAAGGAAAAATCAACTAAATGATGAAGGAATAATTTCTTCAAATAGCCAATAATGGAAGCAAGAGGTTCATGTAATTTAAAAGAGAGAAGGCTGAAAGCAAGTCATTCCTTTCAGCTGATTACAGTGATGAACCAGTTTCTATATCAATTCGTGAAACCTAGAAATTCGCAGAAAATGAAGTAAAATGTACTAAAATTACAAACTGAATCGGTAGCGGAGAAACAAAGGATAGAACGTAGAGGTTTTGTTAGTTTTTAAAGTTGGCTGAATTTTCTCCAAGAATAAAATTTATGCGAAATGTAGACAAATTCAACATGTTTTAGAACGGATATGCTCATTTATTTTGAAAACGGTTCGTTTCTCGGAAAAAAAGTTCTTACAACTCGTGTAACGTACTATACTTTTTCTACGCCCATTCATTTCCTTCCATTAAATGAAAAACATCACAATCATTTGAACGTTATTATAATAGTTTTCAATAACAATTGAACAATTATTGTAAATGTGCCTCATTATTTAATGGTGATGACCGCTTATTTATAATTGTAGTAATGCTCGTTACATCAGAGGACGAAGATTGATAATTAGCGGTAACAAGCTATGTGTGGCAGCTTGAGCTTTTTCTTTCAATCCTAAATATATATCGCTAATGCTGAAAGTTTTTGTTTTTTAATTGACCAAATTAATTCTTACGTAAATAAAAATTTGATTGTAATTTAATTGAACCAAGAGAGTTTTCTTCTCAAAACGCACGTGTATGTTACTACTAGCATACCAAAAATGAAAAATTATAGATACACTCTCTATAGATTTACACTGGTAATACTAGCATACTGATGTAGATGTGGTTTAACAGATCTCGCTACCTATCGCAAATATTAAGGTTGGTAGAATTGATGATTATTCCTATAGGAAGTTGTCTCTTATCAGCAATCGCAGTGAGGAGGAAGTGATCATTCCTGATATCATTCCATGAAAAATCCCATTCCAAAGTTATGGGGATCAACACCAGACAAAATCTGTGTATGAGAAAACTTTCTTTTTCCCACTTTTTTCACACAATATTAAGTATTTGAGAAATCCACATACAGACTGAGTGTTATAAACGCTTCCACCACTCAATGTGTCTGGCATATTTATTATTGAAAAGCAAACATACTCTGCTACCACCCCACAAAAATGCATCGCTCCATGAATCGTACGTTGCATTATTTCTTTTAACCCTTTATGGCCATACCGCGGGCGCCTCCACCACTAAAAACCTGCCAGATATCCCCATCAGTTTTTGATGATGTTACAGTACATAAGGTAGGTGATATCGATCTATTAATCGGACAGCGAAATTTGTTATCAGCTTTTAGACTAAATTGTTTGATATCATAGCCAACTTTGTCATTTCGAATGGAAACCATAGATTGGGCTTTGACTTGACTTGAGGAAATTGGAAAAAATAGGCATTCCAAAAATATACATATGTTAATATGTCTAGTCATCCTTGCTATCGATATAACATAATAGGCGAGTGGACTATTATTTTTCATTTCTAATTATAGAATCATCACTCACATCAATTTCATATTTTTTATGAATTGTTCCGTCGATTTTCGGGTGCTGAAATTATCAATAATGCCACGGTAATTTTCAAAGGGCTAGAAATTTACCGCCAGTAAAAACTGACGCCACGATTTCGTAAGTAGGGGCAGACCATAGCACAGTTGCCATGCGTTGAAATACGATTGGGAACTTCAGAAAAATTAGTTATTCAGTATTTCATAAATTCTCAATTGAGTAATGTTGATATTCCTAATTAGCAATAAAAATTCAATTGTCTCAAAATGTTCCCTTATGATGTGTGGCTTATTGTTTATAATAAATATATTAATTCACACTAGAGCAGTGACTGCTCGTCAGGGACGGCAGGGTCGGCCGGGTCGTACCAAATAATTTGGAGACAACTGCTGAATTATTTGATCAATAAAATTATTTTTCGAAACTGTTTTCATTATTCGTATGCTACTGTTATTAAGTGTTATGCCACTATTATTTGAATTTCGTGCACTGAAACCTTTGAGTTAGCCATCCGAATATACACCGAAAATCACGAACTAATTCAGGACCTACGATATCTGGTAATCCCATCTTCAAAACGCCGCTTCAAGTTGAAACGCTCGCGTAGCTTATTACATTACTCTACAACTGCAGTCGGCCGGCCGATCGGAGGTTTCATGTCTCTGGACGCGTCGCATACGGATCCCCCGCTTGAAGTCGAAATTCTCGCGTATACGCGGCATACCCTGGGTTCGGCCAAGCTCCGCTGGCCGATGCCAGCTTCCAACGTAACGGCACGGTAATACCCGTAGTGTGCTGTGGACTGTGAAGCGTATCCGACCTAATAATTATTAAAATAGGGATTGACTCGGATTTTCGTTTTACCAATACATCAAATTTATAATTTCAATTCCTATATTGTAAGTTACTGTTTAATTGTACAAACTGAAAAAAAAGGAATTTCGATGTTTTTGTTCATGCTTGCAGTAAAACTGACTGGTGATTATTGAATTTGCAATTTTTCAGTAATTGAAAATTCAACATTCATCAAACATTAAAATCAGAATTCAGTACTGATTTTCCTTCAGTGCTTCTGAGCGACAATAAGTCATATACTTTGATATTGTTATGTACTGTACGACTGCCTAGATTTTATGGCGAAAAAAAATTCAGCAGCCCAAGAACCAAGTATTGAAACATTGTAAAAAAGCTCTGATTATGAAAATGTTATAAATCTATGAAACTTCCAGAATATTATCTACTTTCAAAGACGGATGTAGCGGTATTGAATAATATTTATGCATCCATCGCGGGAAAGCCGACTGGGAAGGAGTGGGGTGGCTTGTTACAAGGACGACGTAGCGTAGACAGATTAGTCATTGTGGTTATTTTTTCGCGTTAGAGGAGTACTTGAAATTTTTTTATTCTGGCTTCAGATTTAGCAGGAAAAATAAATAGTTATGGCCAGCGTAAGAGTATGTAACAATGATGATCTGGTAAGCCAATTATTATCATTTCATCAAAAACAAAAATGAGATGACGAACTAGAGCAACATCTACCATGGCCGACCCAGGTTCTGAGGGCACGAGCCGTCACTGCACTAGAGGACATTGGAATCGGTGAACGTGGCAAGACGGAGTACGACTTGTGGGCGTGGTCTTGTCAGTTTTTAGCATTCAACACATGTTGCTAAGTTTCCAACATTTACAAGACAATAAGAAATATTTGGACATGCTGGTTGCTCTAAAAAGTCAAGAATAAACTATAGCATGGGTTCCTCTTATTATGTTTTTGGACAGGACTCTTAACATTCTTTTGATAACTCGATTATAATTGGTGACTTGACAACCTTGCTTCATGAGTGGAAATGGGAGATTACCTGACCAATAACGAAACAGCATAAAAACCGGCGTCACCATTTATTTGACGTATCGCCAAATGGCCGTCATGAAGGTTCGTTTGAAATGAGTTCTGAAATTAAACAATTTTGAACACCGCATAGACTCATTATTCACATAAAAAAGCGTGAGAAGTGTTGAAAACATTAATTTAGGTTCCTAACGACACAGTGGAGTAATTAAATGCAACTAATTCTTCATCAGTCCACTCGCCCATTATTTCCCTGTGAAAATGACGGTTTGGTGAATTAAATTGAATTTCCACATTTGTCAATAACAATGTGAGCTGCTCGTCATCGTCGTCGGTTAGTTGAGGAAGTGGAATGTTGATTACTCAAGATTTCTGGGTTTTCTCTCCTCTATTCTATGAATATCAATATGGTTTCAATAAATTTGAAGTAACGACAAATCAGATGATGAGACAGAAAATATCACTGTGTTCCTAATGCCATGATTAGTCACCAAAAAGAATCGATAGTCAGTGACACCTTCTTTCATTTCGAATCTGGAATCCTTTCTTACTATTTCTTCTCTGTCAGGTCTCATTGAGAAGTGCAGGAAATCAGAGTACGAAGACGAGAAACCCATAACGTGCAAGGACTTGCACGGCTTCTGGGACATGATTTACATGCAGGTCGGGGACTTGGAGAAGCGATTCGCGTACTTGGAGAAGGTGAAGGAGAACAACTGGGAGGAGGTAGTGCCGGAGAAGAAACAGGTGGCGTCGAAACGTCCCAAAGGCCGTCCCAAGAAACCTAGCGCTCCCTCCCGCATGAGAGATTTCATCAAAGCTGCCAGGAATAAAAAGGGACAGCCGGATGGTGGTAAGCAAAATGAAAGAATCATAAAATTTTGTAACTGATTTATTCTTACTCAAATCGACAGATTGATTGTGAAAAAACAAAATTTTGAACTCACGTATTTTTGTATGAAAAACTAAAATATTATAATTGTCATCAATTGAATTTCAGAATAACATTATAAAACACCTCAATTACCTTCATTGAACAATCTAACTTGAAAGAGTTCAGGAAACGTGAAATAATAATAATTGATTATCATAAATTCAAACAAATTGTTTTCAATGAATTGAGCAGTCAAGTAGGAAGAATTTCAAAAAATTGATATTGTATGAGATGCTAAAAATCAGTCATCAACGAAAATATACAAGGTGTTAATTAATTGAGTGCCGATAATACAAGGTGCGAATCCTCGGGTGATTTCAAGGAGAAAAGTTCATATCAACATATGTCCTAAGCCACTTAGTTTTTGATATCAATATCGGGTCTACGTGAACATGTGTTTGAAGTAAAGAAATTTACTTTCGTCCCAAATTAAAATGTGTTCCAGTCATAGTGAGGGTCTACTAGTTAACTCGATGAACTGAAAAAAACAAAGTTTTTGGTTTTTATTTTTTTACGCGAAAGCGGTACGTCGTATGAAAGTTAGTCTTGGATCCAAATTTGCTCCAAAATACATGGAGATTTCAAAAATGATTTTGATTTTTGAAAAAGTCAGTAGCGTACGATTTTTCTCTTCAAAACTTGTTAATTTCAAACCCCGTACGGACGTCACTGGTGAACATTTTCTAAAATCTTTCACGTCAAAAAATGCTCCTTAATGAGGAAAAGGTTTCTACAAAATTTCATAAAAATATCTATTAGTGATGAAGAATTATGATTAAAAACGCACATTTTTCTTGGAATTTCAAGACCCTGTAGCTCACAAACTAAGAGACTTAGGACATATGTTGATATCAACTTTTCTCCCCGAAATCACCCGAGGATTCACACCGTGTATCTTCGGCACTCAATCAATTAACACCCTGTATATTAGAACTATTCGAGAAATGAACATGAGAAATTTCAAATTCAAAAGACGTAAACAACAAATTGATGATCAAGAACTATATGATGAATATAAAATAAAAGGAAATAAAGTAAATGCTATGATAACAAAGAGAGACTAAATATACAAGGTGTTTCAAAACTCGATAACATGGATAATAATAATATTGAAAGTTACTTATCAATCAGTGAAGTAACTGACAGTAATTACTTTGAAGCCCTGAAAAAACTCAAACCGAAAAAATCTGCAGGAAGTGATAAGATTCCACCATATATTGTTAAAGGATGTGGACTCTGGTTAAAGCAGCCTCTTCTATATATTTATAATTTAGCAATAACATCGAATACATTCCCAGACTAAAGAAGCTATAGTAACACCTATCCATAAGTCTGGCAAAGTCTCAGAAATTGAAAACTATAGGCCAATAGCAGTTTTATGTGCTACTGCGAAGCTATTTGAGCAGATTATTTATGCAAAAGTGTGGAGTGGCTTTGGAGGGAATATTTGTGAAGAACAGCACGGATTTGTTCCGAAAAAATCAACCTCTACAAATCTTTTAACATTTTCTCATCATGTCCTCAACCATCTAGATAACAATAAACAGGTCGATGTAATTTATACTGATTTCCAGAAGGCATTCGACAAAGTCAATCACGATGTGATACTGCAAAAGTTCCATAAATATGGCGCTGATCTCCAAGCACTCAAATTGTTGGCCTCTTACTTGAATAACCGATACTTCAGGGTCAAATATGCAGGAAACTGTTCAGAGAAATTTCGCGCTAACTCCGGAGTCCCTCAAGGATCAAACCTGGGCCCGCTACTGTTTCTAATATTCATCAACGACCTTACGCATAATATAAAGTATTCGGAGTGCCTATTTTTTGCAGATGATCTGAAATTGTATAGAAAGATCGAAAGCCCGCAAGACTGCGTCAAATTACAGGAAGATATTGATAGGGTCCACCGATGGAGTGTAAAAAACGAACTCCCATTTAATATATCCAAATGTATCGTACTATCTTGTAGCCGAAAATTATCTAAAATATTATACGATTACTCGATGAACGACATGCAGTTATTTAGAGTAGAGACTGTTAAAGATTTGGGTATATATTATAACTCCGCACTCTCGTATAAACCACATTTGAATCATATCGCATCGCAGGCACTACGGACTATGGGCTTTGTAATGAGACAAAGTGCACATTTCAATGACACCAAAGCAATAACTGCACTTTATAATACTCTAGTAAGACCTAAACTTGAATATGGCGCTGCAATCTGGCATCCCTCTCAGCTAATCAACAAAAATATTTTGGAAAAAATTCAAAACAAATTTCTGAGATATCTGTATTATAAAAAATATAAAGTTTACCCGGACTATAATATAGTTAGAACAGTAGCACTTAGAAGTGAATTTGAAATACCCAGTCTAGAAAATATAAGACAAGCAATTATAGTCACAATGTGTTATAAAATCTACAAAAAATATTATAACTGCCCCTATCTCCGATCAGTATTGAAAAGAAGATCTCCCAATCGATTGACCCGGCTTGTACAATTCTCTGATGTTCCATTTGTATCAACTAATAACTGTTCACCCATTATAACAATGATAAAATTAACAAACAACTTCCTACTATTGTCAGAAGTCAGCTTTGTTCTCCCTCCCTCAAAATTTTATTATGGTATGAAAACATATTTTTCTAATTTAGAATAAACAGTTTTTATAGTGTGTTCGCGCCATCAGTGATTTGAAATGATCATTTCAATTATTGTAGTTAGTAGAATATTTGCAATGATATACTCTAAGACTGTTATCATATAGATACTGTTGTTATATACATTATGATTCTCATGTAATAAGGTTTTTTACCTGTTTGAGAATAAATAAATAAATAAATAAATATCAAGATTTCAGGGACTTATTTTCCAGGTCAAAATAATACTTTTTCTTGTCAACATACAGACTGTATATACACACACCTTGTATAAAAAGTCACGGTTTGTTCGGTTTCTAATTCCTTAGGTTATGTTTTGGAAACTTTTAATCAAGATCATGAACTAAATATGTAGCGCTGTTTGTTTTAATGGTGATAATCCCAGCAAACATTTTGATATAGGGCATTAATGGCCTAATATATTTTTCCCATACCTGACATCAGCGGTCCAGTAAATGGCCCCATATGCGGGACTCTGTATTTAATACACCGCGGCCGGCAGCTGGTTCCAGTGCTGGGTACCCAGCAATCATATTCAGTTCCCGAGCAGAAGGCAAGTACAACATAATCGACATATTGAGTTTTCCAAAGCAAGCCCAGCACATACTTGAATGATGTGACTGTAATGGCCAATTGTCGGTATTGAATACAAACTATCGAGGTTGGGGGAGGGGTAGGGATTTCAGGGGTCCAATGGAACTGAAAGTTATGGTAACTATTTTTTTCAATGTAACCCTCTCATCATATTATATCTATCAGACACATACCAGATTCAAGGAAAAATTCACGATTGACATAACTATATCTTCTTAACCTCTCTTCTTCCGTGATGAAACTTCTCAGAGTTAGAGTCCCTGTATGTATAATTCCCTGTATATATTTGTCAGTTTTGTTGTAATAAGAGTACGGACACTATGACAAGCAGTGACGGAAGGCATAACCCCAAATTCTCAAAATGACTTTTGAACAGAGACATGGATATGCTTTTCCATGCACTTCGGATCTTCTATCCTCTACTGCCGCGGTGAAGGGTACATCCATATATCTTTCTCTGTCTTTATTTTCATAAAGAAGTGGCGTCTCATCTCACTGGCGAAAAGGGGTCATAGTTTGTAAATCAATTTGTTGAAGGTATAGGTATTTCTCGATATACTTAACAAAGGGTATATTATGTACTTGAATTTATTTGATTTTAGGATGCACTAGTTTTTCAATAGATAGAGTCAGGATTTAGTTGCCAGTTCTGATGGGCAGAATGTAAATGAATGGGAAGAACAATTCAACCAATTAACAAACTTATATATATTTGTTCTCATAACATACTAAGACACTTCATAGGGCATGAACGATCAGAAAATTCGACAAATACAAGTATAATGATTATAATTCAAGAATAGTATATCCTATGACAAGAATACCAGGCTCGAAATTAATAATTGAAATTTTCCTATTCAAAGTTCAAAGCGATGGTAATTGATATTGAAATTTGAGTAATGTTTCATAACCGAATGATCCACACATGCATTTTTCGACACTCTCTGCATTCCATCTATTACCATTATATTTAGAATTATGAGAAATATGTTGCTCATAAATAGCAACTTTACTTAGAATACCTTTTAATTTGTAATCGATTTCATTGATTGGCGTTTCAAAATACTGGAATTGACTATAATTTTGGTTGAAATATATTCCGAAACTATCAATTTGGGTCTTGAGTCGATTCAAAATTGCCTGTATTCTTGCATTCGCAGTTTCCTCACACTCTTCCAAAGATTCTTGATGAGATAGTTGAAGATCTAAAATTATTTCCTTATAATAGTTGTGAATATTCATAACTTGCAGTCTTGTTTCAGAATCTCTTTGCTTCAAGCTATTTTTCAATTGTTCGTCCTTTTCTTTGATTTTTTTTCTGTATCTTTCATCATTAACTGTTAATAAATTTTGAATTTCGGCATATCTTCTCTCTAAATCTTCGATAATTTCTTGTTTGTGATCCAAAATACATTTAATTTCATCTTGGTATTCTACTTGAATTTTTCCTCGTAAAAATTGTCCTGAATTCGATAAGGAATGTCTTCGATAATCCTTCTGATGATGGAATGAAGGCTCCGCATTTTCTTTCAATGTGATGGTATGTTCCACTATAAAATCTTCACATTCGAAGTGCACCTATAATGTTAAAATTGAAATCATAAATGATATTATTCCTTCGAATATGCATCATATTCAATCGAAAAATTCAAATATTGAGTACTTACTTCGCAAATCTTGCTACCTGAATTCAATTTCCATAGTGGCCGCTTCATATTTTCTTTCCATTTCTGTAACTGTTGTTGGTTAGAATAGGGGAAATGGAATAAATGAAAGGACTCGCTTCCATTTTTGCAATTCTCCACTACACAATTAGACATTTTAATTTTTGAAAACCTGAATTTTCAAATGATTTAATGTCATGTACGTTCATGAACTGTCAGTGCCCGCCAAATTATTCATGTCATTTCAAATTTTTTAGGGTTATGCCTTCTGTCACTGCTTGTCATAGTGTCCGTACTCTTATTACAGCAAAAGTGTCAAATACATACAGGGACTCTACTCAGAGTGACTGCTTGCCGGCTGATATCTAGATCTACATCTGTAGATCGGTAAGGAAGCGTTTGCGGACACATGTTTATAGGAAAAAAGTCTAATTTTAATCTGAAAAATAAGCACCTGAAATCTTGATACTGAGTTTTGAAACACCCTGTATAAATAAGAAATTTGAAGCTTCTGAAGTTAACCATAAGAATATGTGGGACACTATAAATTATCGTCTCATTGGTACATCAACATTGAAAAATTAAAAGGAGTTTGAATCATTGAAAATCAAAAGTAAAATAATCACTGATGATCTGGAAATAGCCAGTGTTATGAATGATCATTTCTCAAGTATAATTTAGCTAAAGAAATTAATTCATATTATAACAACATTCCACAAGCAAAAATCATTCCAGAATACAATGATTCTACAATGATTCTGTTTCCAACTGATGAAAATGAAATTATTGAAATAATTCATGCTCATCAAAAAACATTCTGGCTGAAATCCCTTTAAAAACGAATCAATAATTTATGTATTAGGTTTTTTCCTATATGGATTGAAACATGCTCCACTAAGACCTATATTCAGACTAATAGCCATATTGAGCATATTTGAAAAAAATCTGAAGAAGCGTATTGTAAATTTCATTAACAAAAAATATAGTTTTGATAATAATCGGTTCGGTTTTCAAGAACATAGTGGCACACAAGTAGTACAAAAATTTGTAAAAGGACTTGATAGGGGTAATTACGTTGTAGCTATTTTCATTGATTAAAAAGGCATTTGATACAGTTGATCATAAGAAACTCTTAGAATACTTGGAAACAATGGGACTCAGAGGCATTGTTAAAAATCTTTTGGAATCCTACCTTGGAAATAGGACAATCAGCACTAAATGTAAAATGTCTGAGTCTAATAGACTTCCAATAAGTAAGGGGATCAGTTTTTGGGCCCATCTTGTATTTATTATAAATTTATTCAGAATATTTTTAAAATCGGATTATCAGGTCATTATACGAAAATCGAAAACGTTCCACCCAAGTTATCTCCGTTTTGTTGCAATAAATAAAAAACAGCTCGAACAGGTTTATTTCAATTTGGTGCGGGACACATTTTTCTACCATTATTATTTTCCAATGTTGAAACCTTGAAGCGTAACGGGCATCAACTTTTGATTTTCAAATGGACCGAAATACAGGGTTTTCATTGCATCTCTAGTATTTCCCTGAAGAGCTGATTTCAACAATGCATCACACTTGGGGTCTAGCGGAATTGATTACAGAGATATAGGGAGTTCAAAATCGAGATTTTTTCGACTTTAGGATAAAAAAAATGCCTCGCTCACAAACTCACTCATTTCTCTGGAACACAGTAGAAAAGTTGGCGATATGGCTCAATTTTATATATATTTTCATGGACGATGCTCTTCTGAAATATCAACAATTGTTCCTCCCTTGGCAGTCCCCGCGAGATTAACTCGACGAATTGAGGCATCGCACCCCTTCGTGGTCACTTTGGAGACCTGCAGAACATCTCTTTTCAAATATTCGTTCATCCAACGAACAGCGAGGCTCTGGAAGCATTGCCAAGGCAGGTGTTCCCCGAGTCATATAACCTCTAGAAATTCAAGAAGAACACCAATTCCCACCTTATTTCCCTTGGTTCTCACGATGTTCTCTGAACATTACAGGATATCCCTTTTCGTGAGAACCAGAATATTAAAAAAAAATGGCCACACGGCTCTACCTCATAGATCAACAAAAGTCAGTGCCTTCAATATCGCTTGTGACGTTTCCAGATGCAGCCGACACGGTGCCAGCAATCGTCGAGCCAGCGAAATCCAGCCCCTTGAAGGAGCTCTTCACTGCCTCGAATGAGCGCTTCACGCCTTCGAAGGAGCGCTTCACGCCGGTGAAGCCCAGCAGCACGAGGCGCAGTTTGCGCGTGTCGCTGTTGTGCGGCAAAGCTCTCAAGAGGCCCAGCACTTCTCCCTGCCTGGCCATGATGAAGATTTCGCAAGCCATCAAGGCTGGGGACGGGGTGACACCCAGTAAAAGCATCCTGAAGACGGAGAGGACCAGGTCGGAAAGCAGGATGACCAAATCGGTGTTGTTCAAGGACGATTTGGAGGAGGATAATGGACCTTCCGAGGACGTGAGAAAAGAAGGAAATTTGATATGTTTTAGTCCTGTCACTCCTTCTAGGCGATCTACAAGACTGAGAAGAGTTGATTTATAGTTTGCGTTTTGTTTACGAATTAGTAATTGGTCTGTCTGTACCTGAGGTTTTTTCATTCGTTTTAATTTTTATTGACGCAATTATTATTGTTTCTTAGACTTTATAGTCTTGTGTACTCTTGTATATATATAAAACTCTGTAATTTGTGAATAAAATTGTGGAAAAAAAAAACTGCAAGTTTGAGTTTCCAAACCGATTATCGTAACGAAAACGTATATTCAAGAATCATCATCCATCAAAATCATGTGCTCTTTTATTCTGTCACGATACTGATAGAATATCCCTATATAATATAATTCCATTCAAGAACAGCACAAAACATATAGGAGTTATAATCCATTATAAACTGTGATTCAAAGAACATGTCAAGCATAATGAAAAAATTTCACTCTAATTTAAAAATGATTCGCCTTCTTCGCCTTCTTAGTTACTATCTTTAACAATAACAAAAAAATGCGTTGTAATTGGTGCTATATATTATCCCAGCTCAATTGATACGATACTGTCAAGGACCTTGCTTAGATGATGTTGATTACACATATTAAAAGTTCAGTTCAGGATTCTTGCTTATTGAGACAGAGTTGCAGTAAATTTTTGTTAATTTATCCGCATTAATGTAATTTTTTACCAATCATCATTATTGATGGGCAAAAGCATCCTGAAGACTATATATATGATATAGGACCAGGTCGGAGAGCAGGATGACCAAATCGGTGTTGTTCGAGGACGATTTGGAGAAGGATAGTGGACCTTCCGAGGACGGGAAAAGAAGTGTGCGCTAGAAATTTGATATGTTTTATAGTCCTGTCACTCCTAGGCGATCTACAAGACTGAGAAGAGTTGATTTATAGTTTGCGTTTAGTTTACGAATTAGCAATTGGTTTGGTTATACCTGTGGTTATTTCATTTCTCTTTAATTCTTATAGTGACGCAATTATTATTGTTTCTTAGACTTTATAGTCTTGTATAATTATGTATACAGTCTGTCCAAGATAAAGGTTGCACAGCATGGGGATCTCGGAAACGGTAGGAGATACGAAGTCGGTTGAATGGGGAAAAAGTTGCGCATTCGGAGGCTCATTCCAACAGCTTTCGAATATTTTCAATTTTTTTTTTAGTTTTTCAGTTATATCGAAAAAAGTGAATTTTTGGAATCTCTATTTTATTTTTTTTCTCCGTTATTATTAGAGACACAGGAAAACTAAAAATACTTTTTTATAGCAACTTTTGATGACGTTTAACGTGGTGATACCGATTTTTTTATGCGACGTTTCGTATTCGTAGAACCATCATCAACTTTTGTTTTTTAAATACGGCCCTGATAATTCTTTCACAGATTCTGAAAGCTTTTTCTATTCTGAATTCAACCATGTATTATACATGGTGGTTTGAATGTGTTTCGAACTATTTTTAGCCATCATTTATGTTTTTTTCGAAATTACAAAGGAAAAATGCCATCAGTTCCACTTATTTTGAAGGAAAATTAGCCAACAAACTAATACCTCATCAACTAGTTCCGATTGATAGACTTATAGGAATACTTAGTTCGAAAAATTTAATTATGACAAGCTCCTTCGGATTAAAATATGAATACAATTCATAAACAATTCGAAGCGCTGCATTGAATAATTTAGTGGATTTTTTTTCACTTTTCAGTATTAAATAACTAGTCCATCAATGTTTGACACTGAATAATCAGAAATAAGTGAAACTGATGGCATTTTTCCTTTGGAATTTCGAAAAAAACATTGATGATGGCTAAAAATAGTTCGAAACACATTCAAACCACCTTGTATAATACATGGTTGAATTCAGAATAAAAAAAGCTTTCAGAATCTGTGAAAGAATTATCAGGGCCGTATTCAAAAAACAAAAGTTGATGATGGTTCTACGAATACGAAACGTCGCATAGAAAAATCGGTATCACCACGTTAAACGTCATCAAAAGTTGCTATGAAAAAGTATTCTCAGTTTTCCTGTATCTCTAATAATAACGGAGAAAAAAAATAAAATAGAGATTCCAAAAATTCACTTTTTTCGATATAACTGAAAAACTAAACCGATTTGGTTGGAATTTGGTTGATTTGAACTAATAAGCCGCTTATTTTAGCCCTATTTAGATTGAAATTATTGGGGACAGTGGCGTCTCAGTGGGCACCACACCCACCAATATTGTTGAAAAAAGGTGCGCCACTGACTTTTTTGATGAATTTTCATTTTTGTGAGATCAGACAACTGAAAATAAAACTTTTTGGTCTCTTGTATTTTCTCCATATCCAACTTCGTTTTCGAGAAAAAAAATCAGAGCCACTGTATTGCATATCATGAACACCTGCATTGGAAACATGAGGTTTTCATCATTTCCGCCAAAAATATAATCGACACTTGATATGCATAGAAAATTTGACAAATAAAAGTACCAAATTTCAACCAAATCGATTCCAGGATACTCATGATATTTTATAATTACCGTTTTCTTTTCTTTAATTTCAACGCCCTGTATCTCAGAAACGAAGCAACTCCGGACATATGTTCATAGGAAGTTTCCTTCTTGAAATGACCTAACAAATCACCCCCCCAAATCACCCCCCTGCAGTTATTAGGAACCGTAGTTAGGAAACACCCTGTATATCATCATCCATCAAAATCGTGTGGCCGCTCTTTTATTCTGTCATGATACTGATGATAGAATATCCCTGCTGAATCTTGTGTGTTACGTATTGGCGATGGTATGATTCCATTCAAGAACAACACAAAAAATCTAGAGGGCTTATAATCGATTATAAACTGATTCAAAGAACATGTCAAACTTATGCTGAAAAAATGTTACTCTAATTTGAAAACGATTCGCCTCCTCAGGCACTATCTTGAACGAGATAATATCAAAGAAATGCTAGATGGTGGCAGAGCATATCTATACGGGGGGGTTGACCAGGGCCGACTCTAACTCACCGGGCCGGAGCATCGCTTTCGTGACGTGACACTAGTAGGGACAAAATCAACGCAGTGGAAATTGTATCTCTTCCATTTCATCGATGTACCTCAGGAAAACGGTTACAGTATTAGCAGAAAATATCAAGAGGTCAAATATGTACAGAACAGAATTTTTCAGAAGATGATTCAACTTTCACTGATTTACGATCATTAGTTTCAGAAATATCGCACATCAAAATTAATTGAAGCCATTCAGAATTGTCCTTTTTTAAACAGCTACCAAAATGCCAATATTCAATTCACAGAAATGATTCAATCATGGAAAGATTTCCCATAGTATCTAGATTGACTGAGTTTTTTTGTGAATTCCCAAGGGCCAATAACAAACCGATATTTCAATTCAAGTTGAACGATGACTCAGGTGTTCATTAAAGAATAGTTCAAAAAGTTCGGACGCCTCTAATGCTAATCCTATCAACTGTGGATATATGCTGTCACTGACTTTTTTGTAGGAAATTCAATTGTCTACAAATCGGTATAATACACATCCACTTTATTTCAAAGGGTTTTAGCAGCGTTTATGTCTAAAGATGATCAGGACGCACTTTGATGACGTTTGAAATCCTATCACTCGAGTGTGTTATTAAACAAAAACGCCTATTCGGTATTAATTTTCTGCTGAAGGGTATATATTTCAAGAATAACGTTAAATTCATGAAAAAAAAATGATCTGAATATATTTCCAAACTATCAAAATTAAAAAGAACAAAATAGGTGGAGTTCATATGAACACAACAAAACAAAAATAATTTAAAAAATAGGTATTTCAACAATGAGAGATATAAAAATAAATATAACGAAATGAATAACAAAAAACCCAGAACAACGATATATGAATGAATAGGGAAAAAATGAAAAAAAAACGTTGAATCCTTATACAAACAAAACCAAACATAATAAACTGTGAAAATGATCAATATAACAAAATAAAAAAAACTAATATATCACGAAATGAAATGCATCAATAACCAAAAAATATATATACATCTAAATCACAAACTAAAAATTTGAATCTTGACTATATCTCATCCTGAAAGTTTAGTGATTTCAATTTTTTTATTATTGTACTTAATCCCACTATTTTTGATTTCGAATTGAATTGATTTTAATTTCTGCAAAATTTTCCAAAACTTTATGATGTGACTTTCATTGTAGAAATATTGTTTCGAATTTTTCAGACACCAATATTTGTACGTGAACCATACGCCATTCAGGATTAAAATGAGTAATAAAAAGTATATCGCCCTTTACCAGTCCAAGGAATTACCGCGAAATCGTGATACAGCGAAATTTGGGTAGGTAGCTATAATGGCTCATTTTTTACGCGCTCTTAATATTTAATTTCTTTCGGACTCATTGTAGGTAACTCTACAATTTTTTCACTATTCAATTGATGCATGAACCTAGTTTGATATACTGAGTTAGTTTTATCTTATTCCGATTTAAAATTTGCGCAAAACAGTATTCTGCATGTAGTACAACTTCCTGATTTTCAATAAAATGGAATTTCTTCACAACGCCAGAACTCTGTATTGATTCATCCTATTAAATTAATTTTTTCACCAACAGTTGAGGAATTCATTGGGGAACATTTCGTCTCGATTGAGTGTACTTCTAAAATTTATAGTAAATGTTGTGGCCATCTGGACCACGCTTCAAATATTGCCGCCAACGCTAGCGGAAATAGGTACAACCTACCGCGGCGCCATCTGGCACCGCAGAGAACCTGGGGAGAAGGACGAACAGGAATTGGACCGCCATTCAACTGTTCGGCGTGGCCCTTACCACTTGGGGTTTCCCGATGTCTCTGATAACGAGTTAGATTATACTGTAAAGACTAAGACTTAACTGAAAGTTTAACGAATAAATCTAGTATGAATAAGTGACCTAGTATTTTCAATTAGTTATCCGATAAACAGGATAAAACAGTAAATGAGCTATAGCCCAACAATTACGAACGCACCAGTACGAACTGATGTGAAATCTCAACCTACTAGTGTGACGTCAGCGTCGAGAGAGAGAGAGGGGATAGACTACGGCCCGGTGAGATAGAGTAGGCCCTGGGTTGACGGACTTCCAGGGTTGTCCTAGAGTCCTCTAGCATCGTCGTGCGAAGAAGGTCAGGCTGTCAAGTGGTCAAGTAGTCTCATCAGAGTGGAGGTACGAACGATGATACAATTTGAGAAGGCGGCATTGATATATGGATATCAACTGAATATCAACATAATATAAATATTATCCACGGCTATCCTCATTTATTGATATAGGTATAGCTGAGCAAAAGCATCCTGAAGACGAAGAGGACCAGGTCGGAGAGCAGGATGATCAAATGGGTGTTGTTCAAGGACGATCTGTTCTAGAGTCCTGTCTCTCCTTCCAGGCGATCCACGAGACTGTGAGAAGAGTTGATTTATATTTTGCTTTTTAGTTTGAGAATTAGTATTTGGTCTGCACCTAAGGTTTTTCCATTCGTTTGAACTTTTATTGACGCAATTATTATTGTTTCTTAGACTTTATATAGTATGTAATTTTGTTTATACCTATATAACTTTCTGTGATTTGTGAATATAGGTACTTGATGACAAAAAAAATTGCAAGTTTCAGTTTCCACACCGATTATCGCAACGCAAACATATATCCATATCATCCATCAAAATCTTCCTCCTCCTCTTTTATTCTGTCATGATACTGATAGAATATCCCTTCTTGAATCTTATTGTGTTCTACGTATAGGCGATAATATAATTCCATTCAAGAACAGCAAAAAATGTCACGGGCTTTATAATCG